ATATGTCTCCAGCCAGGAGGCTTCCCCCAGAGAGAACTGACAAAGCCTCATTTGCCACCAGATGCCAAATGAGACCCAAAAGCCCCATAGCTTGGGTTGCACACCAATCTAAGTGTTGAAGTTAAATATTAGAAGGAGATTTACGTTGTTATCTGCATGACATGCTCTCATGGACTGTGGGGGTAGGAAACGGGTTTGGGGGACTCAACTTTACCCACTCCACTTGCTAACATGTGTTACTTGAGGTCTACAACTAGACCTCATTACAAAGAGGAGGCACCCCCCTGTGTTGTCACTGTAAGAAGAATGGATTGGTCACCTCTGATTATTGGCTGCTCAGGATAAAAAGTACAGCTGACCCTGAGTACAGAGAGGTGGGACATGGGCAGGAGTTTTGGTAAATAGAGAAATTCTATTATGATAAGTGTGGGAAGACACTTGCCTTTGATATTAGCCATATAACTTAAAAAATTATGCAACTAAATATATCCTATGCATATTATGTGGAACACTTTTTCCAAGTTTACTTTGAGCCTACTAGCAAATGGTATATATAAATTCTTACATCTTTTTAATATTTTTCTCTATCATGTCAAGAGCTCTAATACCAACAGAGCCATGGACATACGGATTTTTTCTTCTCTGGCATACTTGCTAAGCCATAGTGCCAGCAAGCCTGTCATAATGAAGTTAGGAGCAATAAGCAATAGCTTTAACCACACACATATGGTTTTTCTGTAGTCCAAGGTTGATTTGCCAAACATTACCAATAGCCAAAACAAAGTACTTCTAGGGTCAAAGAGAAAGTTGTTTTGTGTCTCAGGTGTCAGTCTTAGGAATGGAAGTTTTATACCAAATGAAACAAACTTGCATCCAGTTCCTTCTCTGAGCGCATCTACTTTGAACAATGCTTGATGCATTTTGGGGTGCCTTTGTTTGAAAATACCATTTTTTGTCCCCCGTGGGATAAAAAATATGATAAAGTTGGCACATATCTTTAATATTCCAATGTATCTTTCAAACCACTTTCCTCCTCAATACATCTTTCTATTTAGGCTCATTCATAGGGTTCACATAAGTCCATTGATTTTGAAGGTGTCACTGTAGATGTGCTTGTTCAAGAGCAGCTGTCCTTGGGGTGAAATGTCTTGACAGTTAAATAAGATTCATTTCCCTCAAAAGCAAAACCAAACCCACTGCCACTGAGCCAATTCTAACTCACAGTGACCCCCATTGGGTTTCCAAGATGATAAATCTTTACAGAAGTAGATTCCCCCATCTTGCTTCTGCAGAGCAGCTAGTGGGTTTGAACCACCAACCTTCTGGTTAACAGTCAAATGCCTTAGGCACTGTACCACCAGAGCGCCTTCGTTTCCCTCCAGTAAGATTTAAAAACTGTTGTTGTTGTTAATGTGCCATCGAGTTGAACCTGACTCATAGCAACCCCTCCTTGGGGACTCATAGCAACCCCTCCTTGGGTTTCCAAGGCAGCATCACTATGGAAGTAGATTGCCCAACCTTCGTTCCGAGGAGTGGCTGGTGGGTTTGAACTGCCAGCCTTCTGGTTAGCAGTCAAGTACCTTAGGCACTATGCTACCAGGGCTCCTTTAAAACCTGTTAGGAAAACAACTTTTGTCACAGATGTGCAGTTGAATGAGCTGAGTGTTATTCATTAAACGTGTATTTCAGAGGCAGTCAAGTCAATGATAAGCAAAAACTATTATCAAAAACAAAATTAGGGGATTTTTCCTTTTTTGTGTGTGAAAAAGATTAGAAAATTAAGAACTGAATTTTAAAATTCACTCTCAAAAATCCTTAGGTGCTCTGGGAATTATCAAGTGACTTTAGAAGGACTTTTTCACAATACTTGTTTGTAAAGATTATATGTCAATTTTAAAGGAGGTTTGGTGGTGTAGCGGATAAGGCATTTTGCTATTAACCATAAGGTTAGCAATTCAAACCCACCAGTTGCTCCACAGGCAAAGGTGAAACCATCTACTTCCATAAAGCTTTGCAGCCTTGGAAACACAATGAGGGTCGCTATGAGTTAGAATCGACTCGATGGCAGTGGGTTTGGTTTTGGCTTGTGGTTTATGCCAATTTTAACTATTGTAAATTGGCACTTGGAATTCTAAAATATATTAATATCTAATTAGTTTCCGGAGGTTAGTAATGACTACCAGCCTTTTTAGAACGGATGGTCACTTTAATGTTCGGTTTTACTGAAGTATTAGTGTTGTTACTTTTATGGTGACTAGAACCTGCAACATACAATAATAAATTCTAAGAATGTCAGATATTGATTAGAAGTTTTCAGTAGAGCTCTGGGATTTTTGTTTGATTTTGAAACTCAGATGGATTCAGTTTTTTTTTCAAGGATAAAGATATCAGAGTTTTAAATTGAGTTTTCTTGCTCTCAAAAAAAAAAAAAAAGTTTTTAACCATTCCTATTTCCACTCAATCCCATGAGCATTCTGGTCACTGTTTTAACACCTTCCTTAAGGTCTCAGCTTCCCTGTGACTTGAAACTTTGCCAGGGTCCTCAAAAGTGTTAGCTGGGCTGCATTTATCCCATGTGTGTGAAGCAAGTTGATCAAAGATGAGACAGGTGGAGAGTGCTATTAAGGGACTTCATGGTCCTGGGTGTCCCTTTGGTACACATAGAAACCCTGTGTGTATTTTGGTTAAGAGCCAGGAGGCCATTCTCTCGACGCACACCATCTCCATCTAGTGGTTACAGTTATGTAGAACACCAGTACAGTGGGAATTTACCCAGGAAATTAAAATAAGCCAGTAGATGAGTGTGTATGTGCGTTAGGGAAACGTCAGGGTTAGTGTCAGGGCAGCACCATGAGAACATGAGTTCTGATGATACTGTGATACTGTGAATGTTTCTTTTCCAGGCTGTTATCAAAGTGTTTTTTTTTTTTTTTCCCAATGGTGTAGGGTATTTATGTTAATGTCATTGAAGTTAAGCATTAATTCTATGTATCAAATGTTCAAAGTACTAATTTGTGAATCACCTTTATTCCCTTTTTCTACAAACTTAGTGGCTTGAGTTTTTTTTTTTCCTTTTTTTTTTCAGAATGGAATTCTTTTAAAGCCATTCTTCAGAACACTAACATGTGTCTTTGTTGCCGGAAAAAAAAGGTGCTCAAGATGGTTTTAATGGGCTTGCAATACTATCATGATTGCTTTAAGGATGTGCCTGTGTTGTGGCAGGATGGAAATGTTTTTTAAAGTGTGTTTTGATGTAGCAATAGCAAAAGTAGCAACCTCCTTGTCTCAGTTGAAAACCTGCTGTGAGGAAAAGGATTAGACAAAGCACTTTATTAAAATCAAGGTTAAGATGCCAGCCCTTGATTCCAATGTGACTTGGCCAGTCACTGTCAACCAGTTACAAATTAGGGGCTTGTCTAGGTTTTTGATTGGGTTTTACTGGCCCACCTATCGAAGAGTTACAGATTTTCTCTTTGAGCAGAAAAGGAAAGGTAAATTTACATAGCTACAGCAAATGTGGTGTTTTCTGGGTAACAATCTCCAGGCCCTCTGGTCTTGAGACCTCAGTACAAATTGGTGAACATTAGGAGTCAGAACTCTTATCACTACCAGATAGGAGGTTGATCTCAGTATAGACCCTGACACCAGGCCTTCTCACCATTGCTCAAAACTTGCCTGATGTGATTACCAAAGCAACCAGCCCGGTAACAAGGACATTTTCAAGTCCTATATAGCAAACTCAGGTGACCTTTGGGTAAATTTTCTTAGCATTCTTGTTTTATGTATGAGGAGGCATTAGGAGTATGGTAAACTCTCCAGTTTGCTCAAGTTACTGACTGGTCAGTAATGCACCATTTATATTTTAGCTTTGTAATTTTTTTTTCAATGTTATATCAACTCTACATTTAAAAAAAAAAAAAAAAGCTTTCCATATGTGTGGTGGTTTGATGATCAAGTTTGGTGATAAATTTGCATTGCAATGATTGTATTCCTGGGTAGCACTTTAAAATCAAGTTACGGTCCTGCACCAAAGCAGTGCAGTGGATGGTTTCACTTGGAGAAAATGTGCCGGAGTCTGAATGATCTTTTAAGGAAATAAACATGCACATGAAACACCAAGCACCGAGTTGTCTTTGCCCTGAGTCTGTAAGTAAGTGTGTCTGAATGACCAGCTTTCTTGTGCTGAATGCCTTTGTGACTAGCCATGACAGTTAGCTATGTGAAAGAAAAGTTGGGCCATTTGCTCATTTTTGCTTCTTCCTTGCTTAGCACTTGGCAAATGACTTCTCTCCTAGTATTCTTCTTATATGATTTATAAGCCAGTTGGCATCCTGTTTGCCGGGGTCCCTTCGTGGTATAAATGGTTTATAGCTGGCTACCAACCGAAAGTTGGCCACGAATTGTGGGTGCTACAAGTCAGGGTCTGCCTTAGCCTGGGTTGCCCTGGTGGTAAAGCCTGGCACAAGGGTGGTGTGTGGGTGGCACACCTGGGGAGGGAAGCCAGGGCATAGTAATGCAGGCCATGAGAGTGAAATGATAGGACACCCCAGCAC